CCTGCAATATTAGCCCATACATGCTTGTAAGCTTCCATAAACTAGCCTGCAACCAATAAGAGTTTGTGTTGAGTCATATCTTCTAATTGTAAATCAAATGTTTGGCACCTTGATTAATTGATCCTTTATGAAACATTTTTTTAATTTTTTGATGGGTCTATTGCACCTGATCAAAGCAAACTTCACTGTCAAATCATGTTGTAAATGTATTCATTCAATTAATTCCCTTATCATACTTGTCCGTATATCCATTTTTATCATTTTTAATTGGGATGTATGTTGGAATTTATCTGTGTATTTCTTTGTGTTATATACGACAAAGGGCCATAAATGGGAAATTTATAATTAGTTGAGGAGGCATGATTTTCATCTTTATTTATGAGGGATGTCTGACTAGTTCTAGAGGGCAGTGTTTTTAAAGGCTCAAGGCGCACTAAGGTGCTGAAGGTCTCTCGGGGCCTAGGCGCAAGGCGAGGCGCGGGCTTTATTGAAGTAAGGCGCACAGTCTTAGTAAAAAATAGAAAAATTAACATCGACTAATCATTCATAGTATTAAGACAATTTTTTTAAAAATAAAAAGTAATCAAGATTCAAGACAAAATATAGAATAATTCTCAAAGCCATGAAAGTGCATATTACATAACATTTCAATTTTCAAAGATAAAATAATCCACATTCAAAGATAAGCCATGCCGTATCTTTTCTATTACTTTCCGATGTCATTTTCTACACAACAATTTAATGAATGGAAAATAATTTCAGTGTAATGTAAGTGTGATTAATTGTGTAATGTAATGGAAAATAATGTGTAATGGAAAATTACACATTAGCACAGTGTATTAATTAATGGAAAATTGATTAATACAATGTAATGGAAAATAATGTAATGGAAAATTACACTCAGTGTAATGTAATGTAATGTAATGGAAAATAATGTAATGTAATGTGTCAATTTAAAAAATAATTAATGTAATGTAATGTAATGCAATGTGTCAATTTAGAAAATAATATAATGTAAAAAAAATAGAGACCAATAGCAGTGTATTAATTAATTATTTGTGAAAAAAAAATTAGTGTATTTTTTTAGTTAATCAATCAATAAGATAAGTCTTATTTTGTATTTCTATTTATTTTATTTTATTTTAATTTTGTTTTTAACAGAGACTCAAAGGCATAATTGAAAAAAAAAAAAAAAAAAGACGATCGAAGAAGCCAGAAATGTCGAAGAAGAAGGAGAGAGACGATCGAAGTCGAAGAAGCCAGAAAAACAAAAAAAAAAACCAACACCTGGAAGTCGAAGTCGAAGTCGAAGAAGAAGAAGAAAGGGGGAGAGAGAGAGAGAGAGAGAGAGTCGAAGTCGAAGAATAAGCCGAGAGAGGAAAAAAAAAAAAAATAGACGACACAGATTAGGGATTCGAACACACACCTGGAAGTCATAGTTGAAGTCGTAGCCCAGTCCAAGTCGAATCGAAATCGAGAGCGCAGTTGGAAGTCAAAGTCGAAGTTGTAGCCCAGTCCAAGTCGAAGTCGAATCGATGTCGAGAGAGGAAGAGGCGACACAGATTAGGGATTTCGTTTCAGTCGTATTGGGGTTGTATTGTATATAAGTTGTAATCCTCTGTGGTTAGAGCCATTCAAACACACACCACAGCCGTTAGATCAAAATCAGGGTGTAAACCATCAATCGTGCCTAGGCGCGAGCTTTGCGCCTTTCTCGCCTTCTTCCAGTCGTGCCTAAGGCGTGCGACTTCTTCAACGCGTCTCGCCTGGTACCAGTTTAGGCGCACAGGTTGCGCCTCGCTACGCCTTGCGCCTAGGCGCGCTTTTCACAACACTGCTAGAGGGATTGGGTATAGATGTTAGTGTTGTCAATCTACCAATCAAATTGATATATCCGTGCTAAAAAGTATGAATCTGCATCCTGTGCATTAAGTGATGGTAAATCACTTAAGAAAGTAGTGTGCAACACCCTGACAGCCTCAATTATTAGCGAATATCACTTTGACCTCCTCGTCTATGAACTCGTCCATTTTGACCTCCTCAACTATGAAAATGTATTACTTTCACCCCCACTAGACCACATTCAAAACGGGTGTATTTGTACGATTTTCATACTTAATGGGGTCAATATGTATGAGTTCATAAATGAGGGGGTTAAAATGATATTTGCTAATAGTTGAGGGAGTAGTGTAATTAAGCTTAAATATAATATATAATTTTATATATGTATAAAAATATACACAATGATTAAAATGAATTGTGCCTCGGGATATAATCTGGTGGGTGTTAGAGAAGAAAGGGGTGACAAAAGGTTACATTGATATGATTAGGGATATGTATGAAGGTGTGGTGACCACTATTAGATCGTTGGCTGGAGAGATAAGTGAATTTTCAATTACTATAAAGTTACCTTAAGTCCTTATCTTTTTGTTTTAGTTATGGATGAGTTGACGAGAAATATTTAGAATGATGTGCCATGGTGTATGCTTTTTGCAGATGATATCATGTTAGTGGGTGAGACTAGAGAAGGAGTTAGCACTAAGTTAGAGACTTGGAGAGAAGCACTTGAATCTAAAGGATTTAGGATAAGCAAAACTAAGGCATAGTACATGGAGTGTAATTTAGTAACAGTAACAATGGAAATAGAGGATAAGTGAATAGAGATATGAATCTCCTTAATTTGACTAACGATATAGCCTTGGATAGAGTTGAATGGAGAAGAAAGATTCATGTAGCCGATCCCATTTGATAGGACTTAAGGCTTGGTTTGGTTTGGATTAAAATGAATTATTTTTCCCAATATAACTAAATTGTATATACATGTATATAATAAAACCACTTAATTCAATATAATTAATTGGTTTGTTTTTTGTTTCTTGATAGAGGTGAAATGTTGTCATTTTATGCATTATGCAAACAAAAACAAAACTAAATTGCAATGAATCTTATTGAATCGCAGTGGATGGTAGTGAATCGTAAACTGAATCACGTGGTTTACTCATTTTTCAATTCAATAATACGATTCGAATTGTTTTGGTTGAAAATAGTATGGAATAGTTGCTAGTCAAATCATGTTAGTTTTTTTTTGGTGACAATTAGCATGTGAATGTCAGGCACCTATTTTTAGGAAATTTGAGGAGCCCACCAACGCTCTGCAAATCTGGCCTAATTCGGAGAAATTCCAGAGTCCACATACCTAATAATAGGGCCTAAAATACATTATTTAGAACTCATACCTACGTAAAAGCTTAAGCCCATAAGTGGAGAACCCATCTAATGTATTGAGGCTATTTCTTTTACTCTTTATCTGATGTGAGACTCTATCTTCACAAATGCTCCAACAATCTCTCCCTCATGTGTGAACCAAACATTGGGCCTCTCTTTGCTCCCCTCAAGTCTTGATCTATCAAGAGCAAGTTCATCATAGATTATGCGAACTCTCCCTTGATCTATAACTCTCCAACATTGAGTACAACTTGGGCCACCCACACACACTGCATCGTGAGTCACCATACTCCATTGAGAGTAACCATATTCCATTGAGAGCCACCTTGTCGCGGTCCAACCTTGCTACATGCACTAGGAATTTTCTTTGCTCTATCTAGAGTTTTTGTGCAAACCCAAGCCCAACAACATCGATGCTCCAAGAGAGCCCACCTATAGATCACTAGCCATTGGCTTTGATACCAGTTGTCAGGGAATTTGAGGAGTCCACAAGCACACTGCAAATCCGGCCCAATTCGGAGAAATCCCAGAGTCCACATACCTAACAGTAGGGCCTAACATACATTATTTGGAACTCATACCCACTTAAAAGCTTAGGCCCACAAGTGGAGAACTTATCTAATGTATATTAAGACCCATTTCTTTTACTCTTTATCTGATGTGGGACTCTACCTTCACATGCTCCAACACCTATATCATATTCACCACGGAGAACACCTATATCATATTCACCATGGAGAACGTGAAATGTCCAACAAAACGTAGTTAAAATATGAAATTTTATATGGAAATGTGCACTTATATTTTTCTATAATTTATCTAAAAAAGATAGTATTGCTTAGATGTTTTAAGGAATAAACTCAAATAATCTTAGTTTAGTCTTGCCTAAAGTATTAGGAACCAGCTAGATGACTCTCACATCACCAATCCACTTCCTTCTATCCCAAACTTAGACTAAATCACATGATACCTTGTTTCCTGTTAGTATTTGAGTTGTTTTGGACTCCTTTTCGTTGGCATTACCCTTATTGTGACTGTTTGCTGTTTTTATTTATTTATTTATTTATTTTTATTTTTTTATTTTTTAAACCTTAAAAAGAGTGTCAAATGTTGAATTGTAACACAACAATTAATAAACTTGAGTACAAAACACTAGTACACAACCACACACTAATATTCTTCATTTATTCACTCACACTCAAAACTTATACTATACAACAAATACACTAGGACACCACACTTTATAATCACACAAGACATTCAAGCGCTCACACTTGGACTTTGCCTCTTCCTTACACACATAATGGAGATCCAAATGTCTCCTATTTATACTAGTACACACCAAACTTCAACCATACATTGACTTAGGTAAAATTAGTGGTTGGTAAATGGTGAAGTTTGAGTAGGTAAAATGAGTGGTTGGTAAATGATGAAATTTGGGTAGTTAAAATGAGTGATGAGGAATTTACTTCTAGAACATTCAATTGTAGTAGAGAGAGAGCTCTCAACATCAAACCTTCTCATAGTACCACAATTAGATATTTTGGAACAACCTTTCCCCATTGGTTTGTTGCCATAAAGTTCTAACCAATTTTCAAGTCCTTAATAACATTTTTTTTTATTTTATTTTTTTATAGAAGCATCTGGAATTTTTTTTTAAATTTTTTTTTTAATTTTTAAAAACAATAGCATGCTCTTGTGTTCCTTTATTGTTTCTTTTTTGTAAAAACTAATGTTTGTAATTTTTTTTGTTTTTGTTTTTGGACAACTACTAGGTTGTTGAAGCTCACTCTGTGGGGTAGCTTAGGAGGGAGGTGAAGACGCTGCATCCTACACGGAGACATTGATGACGAGAACAACAGGTTTGGGAAGTCCACCATCATCGTCTTCACCACCATTGCGTCGACCATGTTCAAGATTCCAACAGTCATCATCATCATTGCAACGGTGGCAATGGTCATGATCTCCACGATCCGCATCATCATCACCATTGAGCGGTCAACAATCACGGTCTCGATTATGGCCCCCAGTAGCCTCCTCATCTAGACCCCCAATAGCACCATTACCAGTATCATCAGAGGCAACAACTGCAGCAGTGGAAGAAACAAAGGCTCTGTACATGTTCTTCATATACTCATCAGGTCCAATTAATTATTGTCTGTACGCCATCAATATGCCTAATCCTGTTCTTCCTCTTCCTCCATTGCAACCTTGCAATCAGTTTAGAGAATTGGAGAAGACTATTTATCCCATCCTTGAATTTCCATTTGGAGAATACCCAAAATTTATGTGTTGCGTTGCGTTGCGTTGAATTAGACATGAAGTTGTACTTTTTGGGGGTCTGACGAAGTTGTCATGCCGAGAGACAAAGGTCAAAAAGGAAGGCTTGGGATCTCAATGACACTTACCCGCCAGATGTCCATGTTCTCGATACCACCCCCATCTCCACCAACACTATCGTTACCAGTTACCGGCCATCTGAGTTGTTGAGGAAGGGTACTGCAATGATTTGTGGGAAGCCAAATCCTTATGCATTTGTGGCTCACAAGAAGATCTATGCCATTACAACTAGTATGCACTTCGATTACAAATTGATGAATGATGAATCTATCACGATTTGAAGTCTTTGATTTGGACTCTAATAAGTGGTCAATCCTCCCTGAACCCCCTATGAACAAGAAACTCACTGGTCATGCTGTGGTTGACAGAAGGGTCTTCATATTAACCTTGGAAAATGAAATTTTCTCTTTCAACGTGGACACATGTGTATGGGTTTGGTTCTCAAAGTACTGTCACGTCCTGCCTTATTTTGAGAGGAATGCTGTGTTTGTAGAGGATACCCTCTATTCCATTTACAATTACACCCTCGCTGCATTTGGACCGACCTTAGAGTTCGAGCCAGAGGCTAAAGCTAAAGGATTGTTCGACCGTATGGCACTGCTGTCCTCAGATGTAGGTGATGCTATTGAGGATAATCTTCGAGTATAATGTCCTTCAGCTTACCTAGTTCATTTGGGAAATCGGATTTTCTATTATGTCTCGACTGGCAGCCTTCTGGACCCTGAAATCACTGACCATTTATACTATGGAGATACTGAAAAGCATAAAATTAGCATCATTACCTTTGAGGTTCTTAGGGAAACCTATACTAAATCTTCTAATGAAGGAGACAAAACTTTCGTCCAGTCAAAATTGTTGCGCACCGCACAATTTGTTGCCAGAAGCAAGTGTGGTGCTGTTGTTGATATTGGTTTTCTTCTAGGCTGCTTCTTAATTTCCACTGTAAGCCCCTTTTGCTTCTTTTAACTCCATTCTTGTTTAACATGCACAATTTGCTCCCTTATATGCTTTTTCCTTGGTAGAGGAAAAAAATGATTTTTGTTTACTTTTATTTATTTGTTAAGGTTCAACTATACTTTGAGACACACTTGTAGTAGACATATGTGAAGAGAATTTCAGATGTTGCGACCACTATAATGGTGCTACTCTTGATTTGTATGATCAAACAATAGAACTTGAGTTGGCATTATCCTCCAGACTCTGAGACGCAGTATTGAGTGTGGTATAAGGGTTGAGGCATGCAATTAAACATGTGCTGCCTAGTGCCTGCAGCTGTGACCAAGATGGAGAAAATCATATTTTTGTTCACTATAAGTTCCAGTTCATTATTTCTGAACAGGTTCCCTTCCTGAATAGATGGTAATAGGTGTTTTTTATTTATATTTATATAGCCTATTCCCTATCTTGACCTCCAATTTTATGCACAAGTATTATTTCTTCCTGGGTAATGGCCACCATGACAAATTCATGTTGTTTTTGTAGCCTTAAAAAATTCAAGGCTAGATATACTTGCAGTGTCAAAAAATCTATGGCTCTCTTGACTTGCAATGTTTTTTGTAATAATAAGCAGAGTAATACATAGGGGAGCCGAACAGCTCGAGATAAGCGTGAGCTTGGCTCCTTTAGGATTTGTTCAAGCTTGATTTGAAGGTAAAATGAGTTCATTATAAGCTTAAATCACTGTTCGTTTGGTAAGTGAGCCGAGCTTGAACATCCTGTTTTTTTGTGGTTCAATATAGTCTGCTTAATTAACTGGATTTCAAAAGGATAGGGCTATATGTCACCTATAAATGACAATCCAATGGAATCTTTTACATGACTAGAACATTGATACCAAAGCAGGAATATAGTAGAGGTATTCATACTAATATGAATCAAGGAGGTTACATTATAGCCATGCTTTTTTTTTTTTTCTAAAACTATTTTTGAGGCGGTCATATAGTTTGTATGTATAAATTGACCAGGATTAACTCTCTAGCAAGACCTTAATACCCATCATACAATTCTGGTTAAAGTTTTCTTTCGGATTGAGATGAGCCAGGACAAATTTATATTAGATTGCTATTTGTAACACGGTTTGTAGTTTGTTCTAGCTAGTAAATATTGGTTATTGATAGCTGTTATTTTTTCAAGTTAACTTGTAGTTTGTTCTAGCTAGTAAATATCAGTTTATATATGATTGATAGCTGTTATTTTTTCAAGTTAACTTGACCCTTTTTGGTTTACAGGATTTTTAGATGTCACTTTTTTTATTATACCTTTAGGCTTTAGTTGGTGGCTGGGTTACAATTTTTTTTTTATTCGATCCATTTCTCATGCGGTAAATAGGATTTTTGATTATGATCAGTAGAGAAACATGTGTTTTGCATGTGGATTTGATAGTAAGGAAATAATTTAATCAACATAGGAAGATTTAATATTCAAATAGTTTTGTTAATTTGGATAATTTTGCATCTTAATTGCACTTTTAGAAATTGTCAAAATTTTCTTTTACATTGTTTGCAACCTTATAACTGCAAGTAATGACACCAAGTGGACAGATTGTTAATGCCACAAATGGCTTTATGGCACTACAGATAATGGTTGACCATTTTAGAATTCCTTGAGCGGTATCAATTTTAGTTTCTCATACCCAACAAAAGTCCTTTTGTGAAGATTAGAAATAGACAGTAAAGGAGTGCATACTCCCATAACAGCAGAACGAGGTCACACATTGAGAAAGTGAGACACTGACCATCTAAAGGTATCCCACGTAGGCCTTTGAACATAATCTAATACAATAAATGAATTCCTCAACAACCACAAAGAGGGTCAAGGTAATTAGGGTAGATGTTACTAACATAATCGCACACCAATGCAGTCAAATGCCGTACACAACCATAAATATGGCTATAAAACAAAACAGATTTTCCGGTCCAAGTACCCATCACAATCTCAAAAGCCCCAGGCAAGAAGCATTGGTGACTCCGTCAGACAACAATCAACTTTGAAAATATCCCAGCATCAGACCTGCAGATTTATAGCACCGGTGAAAACCATTTGATGAATAGCAATGACAATGGTTAGAATTAATAATAGAAGCTCAATCAACTAGCAGTGCTAAATTTGAAACATCATGTAATTGAATAGAAGAAGAATTTATAGTTTTCTCAAAACTCCATCAGACAGCAACCAACTCAAAAAGTGTCTTAACATCATTAGGCCTGCAGATTTATAGCACCACCAATGAAACCCATTGAGGAGTGACAACAACTACAACCTAACCAATTTTCTCAGCCAGTGGAAATAAAATGTCCTCCCTCTCCCAGTTTTGATTGGGAATATCTCTCATCTATTGATCAAAATATGTAGGATCCAAAGAGGAATCTTTTCCATACACTTGATTGACCATCAACTGATATATATTCTAAAGTTGTTCCAATGGAATTGACCATTAACGAAAAATGCATACTACAAAAGGTAAACGTTAGTTTCATTGGTTTCATTGTCGTTGTAAATACTTAACAGGCAGTCGAATTTTCACCTCTCGAAGAGACTCAAATCTTCACACATCGTAGGGCGAACAACAATAATGGTTTTATTTTTATTTTTATTTTATTTATATATTTTTTTAATTAGATGATTGCTGAAACCTAATTTGCAAACCAAGATGGGTTCCATTAAATGATTTTCTTTTATAAGAACCTTGTCAAGATTGACCATATAGTTTTAAGATATCCAAGTGATACTTTGGATAAGAAAATGAGGTATGTATTAGTTTTTCTTACCAATGTATAGGTATGTATTAGTTTTTCTTTTTGGTTGCCTTATCAATGTATACGTAATTCCACTACCCTTTCATTTTCTTTTCCCTTGACAAATCCAAAATCCAAACTCAGCATTAGGTTCTAAAAATGTCTGTAATAAACTACTCCATATAGCATTGTTGCATTGCATCTGATATAGTGTATTATTATTAGAGTTGCCTATTCATTTTTGGGTCATAGCTCATATGTATGAAATTCATAGGGAAAGGGTCTAGTGAAAAATGAGTTAGGTTTGTCACAAATAGTTGGTTAATTAAGCCACAAAGCATCATTTTTTAGAGCTTTTGAAACCAAGCCCTATTCAACACAGGTGTGGAGTTGTTTTACAAGTACAGACTTGTACCCCTCCATCCCATTTTATTTGTCCATCTTTTCATTGGGATGTCCCAAAAGATTGTCCACTTTTAAAAGTCAAAGCATAAATTTTGTTTGTTTCAAAATTATCTCTTATAAATAGTTATTTGTATATTTGAAAGTGGGAAATAAAGGGGCAGTTGTTGGAAATAGTACCTTTGGATTTGAATTCCAATGCATTTTTTGCATGTCCTTTCAAGAAGTTAGAATTTCCAAAATGGACAAACTAGTGGCATGTAGAGAGTAATATTGTCCCTTTTCCATTCCTTGCTTGAACCAAAAAAAAAAAAAAAACAACCCAAGTCTTTTTGGGGGTGTGCAAATAGAACCTCTCTTGATGTCTTTCTTATTCTAATGTTGTCTATGGTTATATTATCCAATTAAATGACTCCTTGTGAGGTCTTGTGCTCTCTATTAATAAATGAGATCACTATTTGTAATGCAGTTTGTTCTATCTAGTAAATCTTGGTTTATATGATTGATAGCTGTTATTTTTTCAAGTTTAACTTGATTTTTTAAAATTTTTTTTATATGGGATTTGCTGATGTCAATTTTCTGATGTTTCTTGAGTCATTTATTCTTCAGTTAGTGGCTCTGTTACAACAATTTTCTTTTCTTTTCTTTTCAATCCATTTCTCAAGCAGAAAGTAGGATGTTTGATTTGACTAAAAGAGAAACAAGTGTGTTGAATGTGGATTTGATTAAATATGAAAATAATTTAATCAAATTAGGAAGATTTAATATTCAAACAATTTGTTTGTTTGGATAAACTATGCATTCTAGTAATTGTCAATTTTCTTTTGCATCATTTTCTAAGCTTATACTACAAGACACCGAGAGTATAGATTGTTAATGCCACAATGGCTTTAGGATTTAGTTGGTGGCTGGATTACAGCAATTTTCTTTTCTATTAGATCCATATCTTATGTAGGGAAGAGGATGTTTGATTATAATATTAATGTGGTTTATAAGTTGTAATGCAATACGGTCAATGGGAGATGGGTCAGACTGATCCACGTGCTCTATGGGTTTGCTGGCCTTCGTCTTCTTGGAGCACCCCTGCAAATAGGTCCAATGAGAAGGTACCAAAACTAGAGTGGTTCCTCCCGTGGACTCTCCGACAATTAAGTTAGACAGGAAGTGATCAGAAGGAAGAAGAGAGAGTAGAGAAAGTTAAGAGTCGAGAGAGAGAAGAAGAAAAGAGAGAGTATTACCTGTTGTCTTTAACGTTCTTCACAGGCTTCCTTATATCTTTTACTAATCATTTCCTTGTCCATTCAAACTGTCTTATTGGCCAAAAGTCTATGGTCTACTCGCCGTCGGTCATGGCAGTTTCACCATACCAGGGAACGAGAAGTCTTATTGCATTTAATGCTATGACAGCCTCGTTTAATGCTTGATACTTAGGATCAATAACTCTGCAGGATTTTTGTCTATCACTTGGCTAACTCCCTATCTAACAGGTGTCTAAATGCCACAGAGCCTGAACCAGTGCGGGTTCTTCGGTGGGCTTGCTGTTGAGTTTCACCTACTGAGTCATAACTAAATGACCGTTTGGACCACCTATGACAATTATGGTTTGGGCTGTCTTAGGCAATGTGGGTCATGCCCATCAGTAGTCCCCCATTCCAAGCGCAGCTTTAGTCCAGAGAAGGGAATAAGAAAGGTGAAGGTAGTCTCCCAAGTCGCCAAAGATGGGACCAAGCGAGTAAGAGGATGGGTGAGGGTGGACGGTCGTCTTTGCGACTGATCGTCAAGATGGCCGATCGTGAAGGTGGGCGA